TTGATGAGATGCAGATGTTGTCGGGAGCGCCAGCCAAAAGATCTGGTGGCAAAGAGGCATCCTCTACGAAGCATCATGAAAAAAAGATATCCGAATGTGTAGAACTTGAGGAAAAGGACGTCACTTCTGTCGACTCTGCTGCCGTCCCTATCGAGACTACTGTTGTTGAATGTGAGCCCGCAAATGCAGAGCATCAAGGAACTGCCAAGTCTGAAAAGAAGTCATCAGATTCGAAGAAGAAAAGAGGTAAGAAAAAGTCGGAGTCGTCTCCAGGGCATCGAAAACCGTCTTTGGAGGCACAGGAGCCCGTGATCCCACCAGACAGTACAGCTAGCGCTTCAAAGAGAGAGGAGGAGGAAGAAGTAATGGAATTCAAAGAAGGTGGAGCAGAACACTCCGTTGATGCTCTAATGACCTCAGCTTCAGACTCTCCAGTTCCACTAGGAGGAATTCAAGAAAAAGTTAAAGCAGCAAAGAAGTCACCAACTCCTTCGGATAAGAGGAGGAACAAAGGAACTTCAGAGTCGTCGTCCCTGAATATGGAAGCAACCGCAGATCCACTAGAGGCTCACGAATTCCATGCAATGTCATCGGAGCATTTAAAAGGCAAAGGGTCTGCTATCAAGCGAAAACGTGACAAGGAACCAGTGGGACCTGTGCAAACTAAGGAAGAGGAATTTTCGAACATAGCAGCTGGAACTGCATCGTCAACTATGGAGTCTCCTGTTCCTCCAAATACGGAAACAGAGTCCCCACAAGAAGGGCAGAAGCCACCAACTAAGAAATCAACCGACAATGTGGAGAAAGGAAAGAAAACAAAGACAAAACTTCTAGAGGCTTCGGCTAAACAGAAGACCAGTAACCAGCAGCGATGCAGTGTTTCATCCACCACCAAACCCAAAGCTTCAAAAGAATCAAGCAGGCAAACTACCGAGGCGAGTTTGGAAGCTGAAGAATCTGGAATGACTTTCGCTACCGCTGATTTGCCTGAGCAGGCTGAAGTATTGAAACCGGGAAAACGCCGAAGAGGAAAGGAATCAAAGCCTGCCAAGGAGGTGGGTGAAAGAAACATTTCAACAAAGAAGGCAGAGACATCAACTCTGTCGAAGGACTCGGATATCAGTGAAGTCAAGTGAGTACAATGTTACTTTTCAATATGTGATGTGCCTTTGTGCGATCCAGTGGGAGAGAATTAGCGCAGTGTCGATGTGCCACAAAGACGGTAGATTCACTGGTAGACGACCCAACTTAGGGCACT